GTCAGAGCTCAGTAGACGAGTGCCCGGTCAGAACTCAGTAGACGAGTGCCCAGGTCAGAGCTCAGTAGACGAGTGCCAGGTCAGAGAGCTCAGTAGACGAGTGCCAGGTCAGAGCTCAGTAGACGAGTGCCAGGTCAGAGCTCAGTAGACGAGTGCCAGGTCAGAGCTCAGTAGACGAGTGCCAGGTCAGAGCTCAGTAGACGAGTGCCAGGTCAGAGCTCAGTAGACGAGTGCCAGGTCAGAGCTCAGTAGACGAGTGCCAGGTCAGAGCTCAGTAGACGAGTGCCAGGTCAGAGCTCAGTAGACGAGTGCCAGGTCAGAGCTCAGTAGACGAGTGCCAGGTCAGAGCTCAGTAGACGAGTGCCAGGTCAGAGCTCAGTACGAGTGACGAGTGACGAGTGCCAGGTCAGAGCTCAGTAGACGAGTGCCAGGTCAGAGCTCAGTAGACGAGTGCCAGGTCAGAGCTCAGTAGACGAGTGCCAGGTCAGAGCTCAGTAGACGAGTGCCCGGTCAGAGCTCAGTAGACGAGTGCCAGGTCAGAGCTCAGTAGACGAGTGCGGTCAGAGCTCAGTAGACGAGTGGCCAGGTCAGAGCTCAGTAGACGAGTGCCAGGTCAGAGCTCAGTAGACGAGTGCCAGGTCAGAGCTCAGTAGACGAGTGCCAGGTCAGAGCTCAGTAGACGAGTGCCAGGTCAGAGACGAGTCAAGTAGACGAGTGCCCGGTCAGAGCTCAGTAGACGAGTGCCAGGTCAGAGCTCAGTAGACGAGTGCCAGGTCAGAGCTCAGTAGACGAGTGCCAGGTCAGAGCTCAGTAGACGAGTGCCAGGTCAGAGCTCAGTAGACGAGTGCCCGGTCAGAGCTCAGTAGACGAGTGCCCGGTCAGAGCTCAGTAGACGAGTGCCCGGTCAGAGCTCAGTAGACGAGTGCCAGGTCAGAGCTCAGTAGACGAGTGCCAGGTCAGAGCTCAGTAGACGAGTGGTCAGGTCAGAGCTGTAGACGAGCATTCAGAGTAGACGAGTGCCCGGTCAGAGCTCAGTAGACGAGTGCCAGGTCAGAGCTCAGTAGACGAGTGCCAGGTCAGAGCTCAGTAGACGAGTGCCAGGTCAGAGCTCAGTAGACGAGTGCCAGGTCAGAGCTCAGTAGACGAGTGCCAGGTCAGAGCTCAGTAGACGAGTGCCAGGTCAGAGCTCAGTAGACGAGTGCCAGGTCAGAGCTCAGAGATGTCCAGGCTGAGTAGCGAGTGAGATTAATTGAGATCAGAGATTGTCTATAGGTGGCCATTTTTTTTTTTGGAGAGAACACATGGAAGCAGGAAATAAAATGGCGGGAATATTTGAGAGGTGGGTGACGATACAACTTTTAGAGAAAGATAAAACAAGAACAGGTTGTCACAAAAGCCGAAACCTGATTGATGTTGTCACAAAAGCTGACACCGGATAGATTGCAGGGTCAGTGAAGGCTGTAACAATCACAGGCAGACGCTAGCAGGAAGGAGCAGGCCAGACAGAGGACTTACCGCCAAACTGGTTGCCGCTGCTAGTGACCTCAATATCCGAGGCTCTGAGGCCGATGATGACTGGCACTGACACACTGTCAGTCACCGTCTCCAAGTATGACGTGGCTGTCACGGTGATAAGCTTTGTGGTTGTGTCAGTGTAGGTGACATTCTTAGTGTCACAGCCGTCTTTGCCAGAACCTGTGTCCGGTCAGACAGACAATCAAATAGATGTACAATCATTCAGACAGACAATCAAATAGATGTACAATCATTCAGACAGACAATCAAATAGATGTACAATCATAGATTCGTTGCAGACCGTCCGAAAATGAAATAATAAGGCAGCCTGTGTTTTAGCCAAAACAAAAACGTCATTCAAAAAAGTAAAGCATGCGATCCAAAAGGCATCACTCAACCGTCATCTGACAAAACTGTGACTCACTCTGGCCGGTACCCCATAATTTTGTTGACCTAGTAACAGTTGCGCAGTTACGTATGCAGCATAGAGACAATGGTGAATATTAATTCCCTTTTGTACTTCAAAAACTGCTCTTGATGCAGCAAATTGACGAGACGATTCTTTTAGGATCAATGTTTATCAGATTCAACATCATATTTATCTGCTAACATCCTGGCAGATAGACATCGGACTGGGCGTATTCCTTCTCTGACCTTGGCAATGAGTGTAACGTTGACAACAGAAATGTCACGTCTAGGTCTAGCGTGGTCTCCAACCTTGTCTCAACACCAGTTGTGAACGTGAACACCACCTCATGCTCGAGATCACGGCCATCTTTAGCTATAAATCTAGAGTTGGCGGTGCTCGAGATAAACATTCATTTTCACACCATTATTTCATGAAATAATCTGTCTAAAAACACTTTTTCAAGACTGAAACATTATTAACCCCCCACCTCCAACCCCCACACATACACACTTTTGCGGACGTCAGGCGAAATTTCCACCAGCCAAACTAAAATGGGGGTTATTTGTCGTCTTGTTTCATCCATCGTTTCGTCTATTTGTCTACCCGAACATCTATTGCACTACCCACTCAGTCATACACCCTACAATCCACGATCTATCTATCTATCTATCTATGTATCTATCTATCTATCTATCTATCTATCTATCTATCTATCTATCTATCTATCTATCTATCTATCTATCTATCTATCTATCTATCTATCTATCTATCTATCTATCTATCTATCTATCTATCTATCTATCTATCTATCTATCTATCTATCTATCTATCTATCTATCTATCTATCTTTCTGTCTATCATCTGTCTGTCTGTCTGTCTGTCTGTCCTCTGCTCTGTCTGTCTGTTCTGTCTTTCTGTCTGTCTGTCATGTCTGTAATCTGTCTGTCTGTCTGTCTGTCTGTCTGTCTGTCTGTCTGTCTGTCTGTCTGTCAGCATGCCTGTCTGCCGGTCTGTTGGTATTTGTTCGTTAGCACAGGCACCACTTTTATTCCATGAGATGGACCAATGTCATCCCCACGACCCAACCCGGGTCACGCCTTATTGGCCAACCCCTCCCTCCCTCTTTAGACACTCAGTGTACGCTGTTTGTGGGCGTCTACTCCGTCCATTTCCTATTTATAGAGTTACCCGTTCTTTGCTCCCCGTCCGTGCGTTGGTGATAAATTCACCAGTACCTGTCCTTGACATTTTCTTGAAGGAAGTTTTTCGCCAGGAACACAGATGAGTATCATTTATCGGGTCAAACAGTCAGATAGATGTATAATAATATAACCGCTGTAACTCGGGTCAAACAGTCAGATAGATGTATAATAATATAACCGCTGTAACTCGGGTTGGACAGACAGTCAGATAGATAAATGTTTAATGATATAACCGTTGTAACTCAGTGTGTGTGTGTGTGTGTGTGTGTGTGTGTGTGTGTGTGTGTGATACGGTGTGTATCAGTGAGTGTGTTAACCTGTGTGTAATTTTGGTATTGTTTGCGAACTGTGTGGCATGTTTTGCAGATCTGAATTACCCGGAAGTGGCCAGTGAGTCGCAAAGTTGATATAAGGCCTAGCGTTGCAGAAAACGGACATACCTAATGACCATTGAAGTACTAAGTGACCACTGAAATATCAAGTGACCACTGAAATATCAAGTGACCACTGACATACTGAGTGACGACTGACATAAGGCCTAGCGTCTGACATACGGACAGTACCTAATGACCATTCATAAAAGTGACCACTGAAATATCAAATGACCACTGACATCATAAAACGTTACCACTGACATACCGAGTGAGTACTGACATTCATAAAACGTTACCACTGACATACCGAGTGAGTACTGACATTCATAAAAAGTTACCACTGACATGCCGAGTGACCACTGACATACTAGGTGACTACTGACAAACCAACCACTGTGTACCTGTGGCACTGGGTAGGTATTAAACAACATGGTACCTATGACATCAGATGAGTATTACACAATATGCTACATGCGTGCTATATTTGTGCTATATAGAGCATATATTAGTGAAACAATCATTAACAAATACATATATGGTATACAAGATATGGTTCCCTTTGTATACTGGGTTATGTTTCACATTATAGCAGTTTCACAAACTGAGAAAGTTATCCTAAGGAGAAGAGTCAACTTCTGTTTCTAACAGTTGCGTATTGAGCATATGATGCTAGTCATGCATGTACTGAAAGCCCATAGACCTGTTTGCTGTTGGGTGTTTTTATTGCCGTGAGAGTTTTGACATCAGAATGCAATCTTTGTCTGTCTGTGTAGCGTTCACCGTGTGCGACAGACATCGTTTCTTGTCTGTCTCTCTAAACACAGGTAACAGATACCTGAAGGACTTTGTGTATTAAAGTAAATCAGCGACTCGCCCCTCCCCCCACCTATTTTCCCCTTTTCTGTTATCTGTCTGTTCTATTATGTGTCTGTTTCTGTTGTGGATGTGTTTCTGTTATCTGTCGTTTCTGATATCTGTCGGTTTCTGTTATATGTCTATTGTTTTACTCATCTGTTTCTGTTCTCTGTCTATTGCTATACGTTACCTGTATATTACCGTGGTCTGATTGTTTCCAGACGACCTGGAAAAAAAAACTAAAAACATCCCGCGTATCTAGCCATGCAAGGACGGGAAGGATGAGAAAAGGGGGGAGGGGGGGGGCTGGAGTTCTGTGCTAAGTACAAAAACATGCTGGGGGCGGGGGTTTATTCTGTGCTAAGTACAAAAACATGCTGGGGGCAACAAGGTGACCTACTTGTGACGTCGCCTGGTGTTGGGGGCAGACCGCAAAAAGTTTAAAAAACAAAGTCTGAGTTAACAATCTAGCTATTTGTGATCGAAGACATAATCAGCAAGACAAAGGTGTAGACAGACACACACACACACAAAAACGAACGCGAAGAAACTGTCTGTCTCCCCATGGCAGGCTCGGTTTGTTGCCTGGACATCACGGAGGCGCCGCTGGCTAATCCTGCCGGGAAATACACTGTTCTACATTACTGGTGCCGACCGTAAAGGTTGAGTCCTAACATAGCGGCTACAGCGTCCTATGCTGGTTGTCTGGTGTGTCCTCGTGTGTGTGTGTGTGTGGGTGTGTGTGGTGGGGGGGTGTGGGGGGGTGTGTGTTTGGGTGTGTGTGTGTGTGTGTGTGTGTGTGGAAGTGGCAGGTTCCTGTAGTGGCATAATTACTGTTGTTGTATGGTGTTTTCACGTATGGAGGGGGTAAGTTGTGGGTCTTTGTGTGTGTTAACCTACGTGGGAATGTGATGGGGAAGCATCAGAGGCTGAGTGAGGGGATGTTAGTCTGATGCTTCAATGTGTGGCTGGGATAGCAGACGGGATGTTAGTCTGTGATGTTTCAATGTGTGGCTGGGATAGCAGACGGGATGTTAGTCTGTGGTGCTTCAATGTGTGGCTGGGATAGCAGACGGGATGTTAGTCTGTGATGTTTCAATGTGTGGCTGGGATAGCAGACGGGATGTTTGTGTGTGGTGCTTCAATGTGTGGCTGTGATAGCAGAGGGGATGTTAGTCTGTGGTGCTTCAATGTGTGGCTGGGATAGCAGAGGGGATGTTAGTCTGTGGTGCTTCAATGTGTGGCTGGGATAGCAGACGGGATGTTTGTGATGCTTCAATGTGTGGCTGGGATAGCAGACGGGATGTATGTCTGTGGTGCTTCAATGTGTGGCTGGGATAGAAGAGGGGATGTTTGTCTGTGGTGCTTCAATGTGTGGCTGTGATAGCAGAGGGGATGTTAGTCTGTGGTGCTTCAATGTGTGGCTGGGATAGCAGACGGGATGTTAGTCTGTGGTGCTTCAATGTGTGGCTGGGATAGCAGAGGGGATGTTAGTCTGTGATGCTTCAATGTGTGGCTGTGATAGCAGAGGGGATGTTAGTCTGTGGTGCTTCAATGTGTGGCTGGGGTAGCAGACGGGATGTTAGTCTGTGGTGTTTCAATGTGTGGCTGGGATAGCAGAGGGGATGTTAGTCTGTGGTGCTTCAATGTGTGGCTGTGATAGCAGAGGGGATGTTAGTCTGATGCTTCAATGTGTGGCTGTGATAGCAGAGGGGATGTTAGTCTGATGCTTAAATGTGTGGCTGTGATAGCAGAGGGGATGTTAGTCTGTGGTGCTTCAATGTGTGGCTGGGGTAGCAGACGGGATGTTAGTCTGTGGTGTTTCAATGTGTGGCTGGGGTAGCAGACGGGATGTTTGTGATGCTTCAATGTGTGGCTGTGATAGCAGACGGGATGTTTGTGATGCTTCAATGTGTGGCTGGGATAGCAGACGGGATGTTTGTGATGCTTCAATGTGTGGCTGGGATAGCAGACGGGATGTTAGTCTGTGATGTTTCAATGTCTGGCTGGGATAGCAGATGGGATGTTAGCCTGTGATGCTTCAATGTGTGGCTGGGGTAGCAGACGGGATGTTAGTCTGTGATGCTTCAATGTGTGGCTGGGGTAGCAGACGGGATGTTTGTGATGCTTCAATGTGTGGCTGGGGTAGCAGACAGGAGGTCTGGAGTTGTTCACCAAGAGGTGCATCTATCTTGAGTCCTTGGGGCAGGCTTCTTCAGAGGAGGAACTGTCAGGAGGATTATCACTGCACATCACGTGGCTGTATCTGCCCAATCGGGTGTGAGTCGCTCATAGCAAGCACCTGGGACATAGTTCGCTGGGGTGTTTTGTTGATGTCTACATGGATTGACAATGTGTGGTTATGGTGGGACATAGTTCGCTGGGGTGTTTTGTTGATGTCGACATGGATTGACAATGTGTGGTTATGGTGGGACATAGTTCGCTCGGGTGTTTTGTTGATGTCTACATGGATTGACAATGTGTGGTTATGGTGGGACATAGTTCGCTAGGGTGTTTTGTTGATGTCTACATGGATTGACAATGTATGGTTATGGTGGGACATAGTTCGCTAGGGTGTTTTGTTGGTGTCTACAGGGATTGACAATGTGTGGTTATGGTGGGACATAGTTCGCTAGGGTGTTTTGTTGGTGTCTACAGGGATTGACAATGTGTGGTTATGGTGGGACATAGTTCGCTAGGGTGTTTTGTTGATGTCTACATGGATTGACAATGTGTGGTTATGGTGGGACATAGTTCGCTAGGGTGTTTTGTTGATGTCTACATGGATTGACAATGTGTGGTTATGGTGGGACATAGTTCGCTAGGGTGTTTTGTTGATGTCTACATGGATTGACAATGTGTGGTTATGGTCTGGACATAGTTCGCTAGGGTGTTTTGTTGATGTCTACATGGATTGACAATGTGTGGTTATGGTGGGACATAGTTCGCTAGGGTGTTTTGTTGGTGTCTACAGGGATTGACAATGTTTGGTTATGGTGGGACATAGTTCGCTAGGGTGTTTTGTTGGTTTCTACAGGGACTGCCGATGTGTGGTTATGGTGGGACATAGTTCGCTGGGCTGTTTTGTTGGATGTCTACAGGGACTGCCGATGTGTGGTTACGGAAGACTTGACATTGAGCCATCGATCACCGCTCATCTTAGTCCTTGTTGTTGTCCGTTATAAAGAGACTAATGTCAATAATAAGGATCATACTAGGCCTGGTGTATTATGTTACCATACCGGTAGACAGTGTCGGTCGTTACTTAAAGATATTTTCGCGTGTTAGTGTGTCTTGGTTATATAGTGGTGCTATGGTTTGGGTTGGCCCTCAATTACACCAGTTAAAAAACACTGCCAGCATGAGCAGTGAAAAGTAAAGTGGCGTGATTGGCAGTTAGATGGTATCCAGTGTGGGGGTGTGCAGGAAACATTTATATATATTTATTAACAAACCCCCCTAGACATTTGTCCAGCCTACGATGCCTCTGACAGATCCCACATATCATTGGAGGCCAAGCCTTTGCCTTAGACACTTGGCCAGCCTGCGATACTTCAGACAGATGCCACTCATCACTGGAGGCCAAGCCTTTGCCTTAGACACTTGGCTAGCCTGCGATACTTCAGACAGATGCCACACATCACTGGAGGTCAAGCCTTTGCCTTAGACACTTGGCCAGCCTGCGATACTTCAGACAGATGCCACACATCACTGGAGGTCAAGCCTTTGCCTTAGACACTTGGCTAGCCTGCGATACTTCAGACAGATGCCACACATCACTGGAGGTCAAGCCTTTGCCTTAGACATTTGGCCAGCCTGCGATACTTCAGACAGATGCCACGCATCACTGAAGGCCAAGCCTTTGCTCAGAGCACGTATCAACACAAATATAATAAAAAGGATAAGATGTGAACAAAAAGACAGACAGTGATAGACAAAACACAATAAGACAAGGTCAGGACACTGAGAAAAACTAAGGAAATTTGAAAAGACAAAACAAAATAGAACACAGGTAACTGAAGACAAGGAAATCGACAGCAGGAAGTCAATGACTTGAAGATGGAATGAAGTTAACACAATTTTAAACATTAAAATTCTACATTGTGCTGTTCCAAATAAGAGACTGGTGATTTATTAGACTGATGGTAAATGTGATTATGTGGTAACCATTAATGTGTGTCAAGTATTGATTGGTCTGTTATTTTGTCTGCGAGAGTTGATTGTTTTTATGATGATGATGATAATGATGATGACGATGACGATGATGAGGATGATGATATGAGATATGAGTTATGAGCTAGATTATCTTGACAGCACCCTAGATACATCCATAGGCGCTCAGATTCTCCTCTCAACATATTCATCAGCGTCATGCGGTTAATAGTAGGGCTGTACCGAATAGTGATTTTCACTATTAGGCCGAATACGAATAACGGGACCAACTATTCGGCCGAATACGAATAGTGTGTAGTATATAAAATATATATTAAAAATATTTTTTTTAAAAACACACACATTCATAATGTCAAATGTACGCTGAACTTTTACTGTACATAAAGTAGCACAGAATAGTCATTTTCTTCTTTAGCATTCTGAGCCCTTAAGGTTTACTGCTGCAGATATCACTCGTCTCCATTCATCTCTCTGGCTGGCCTTCTCTGCACAATTTGTGACACCAGCTGTTTGTAGGTCTGGCTGAACATTATCTCTCGAACTTCTTTTTTGTCTGCCTTGTGGTCTACGTCAATTTCTCTCTCAGGTGTATACAGTTTTACTTCTCTGTCATTTGACATTCTTTTAATATGCCCTAACCATTTTAGTCTGTTAGCTCTCATGATGCCAGTGATCAATGGTGATTTAAACAGATTATGTGTTATGTTGTTGCTTCTCATTCTCCATTTCCCGCTGTTAGCATCTTTGATAGGTCCAAAGATTTGTTGTAAGACTGTTTTCTAAAACCTGTAATAAGGTCTCATCCCTTTTATTTCTGTTTCAAATTTCAGAGCCATATAAAACGACTGGTCTTTTCAACGTTTTATATATTTTGATTTTGGTGTTGCGAGACAGACACTTTGACTTTAGCAGATGTTGAAGGGCATGGTATACTTTATTTCCAGATTGTATTCTAGATTATATATCTTCTCTCAGGATGTTGGAGCAGTTGAAGTTTGCACCCAAGTACTTACATGTTTCCGTTGGTTTGATTTTCATATGATCGACTCGGACGTGCCCGGAGTTTAGATTCTTTTCAAGTCTAGTTAGTATTCGTACAGAATAGTAAACATTTAAAAACAGTTTATGTTTTGCATCCTTCGGTCAGTCTGTTGTAATTATTAACTAGAAATGAAAGAATCCTAAGTATTATTACAAAGAACTAAACTTGGACATTTGACACCGACAGCTCAGTTAATGCAGGAAAGCTGCATTAGCTTTCAACAAAACCAATCGTTCCATGTTGTCAGCATTAAGGCCGTGTAGGCAGAATCTGGTGTAAGGTAACTACTATTCGTATTCGGCCCCACCGGAACTATTCGGCCGAATACCGAATAGTCGATAGGTTCTCTATTCGGCTCCGAAGCGAATACGAAGCGAATATACAGCCCTAGTTAACAGTACCAGTCCTACGTTAGTTAACAAGACTTCGTGTCCGTCCGGTTTGCTTCTCATGCTTGGCTGTGCCGATCTTTACTCCAAATTCACGTATTCTTTGCAGTGATGTGAACACGTTGCTTCCAAAATCCTCAGAACGTCCTATCTCTCTGAGGGCAATAACAATGTCTGCGTGGCCATCTTCAATTATTGCAGCACCTGCCAGTCTGCCAGCTCTCTCATTACCAACAACGTCCGTATGCCCTGCGACGTATTTGAAAGTAACTGCACACACAGGAGAATTTTGCAACGACTCAAACCACTGACTGCTTCGACCCGCCGGATCATGCTCAAAGAATCACTCAGCACACACACGCGGGAATAGTCCTGTGATCCCAGCCACATGAAAGCCTGTGTCACTGACATAAGCTCCATCGCCATTCTGCTGGTGGTCATGGAGAAGGCACCGCTGGCTTCCTTAACTGTTCTGCCTGAAGGAGGATGATGATTATGATTATGATGTTAATAACTTGTCAATTAAACAGCAACTGCTGATTGGTTGGTTACCTTGTCTGGGAAATATCTGGTCTCCGCCGCCGTCCCCAAAGTTAAAGGTCAGATTACAGAGGTCAAGGCTGGGACCACGGTAGAGGCAGAAGGTCACGGAGAAGGGCAGTCCCTTGGCGGCGGCGGTAAACTTGTTGTGAAAACTGGGGCCGCTGAGCTTCTCAACGATAGTGATGCTCTGGGGACAGCAATGACAACATGCAACTACAACATCCGGGTTGATGGTATGAATTCGGGGATAATGATAGTGATGCTCTGGGGACAGCAATGACAACATGCAACTACAACATCCGGGTTGATGGTATGAATTCGGGGATAATGATAGTGATGCTCTGGGGACAGCAATGACAACATGCAACTACAACATCCGGGTTGATGGTATGAATTCGGGGATAATGATAGTGATGCTCTGGGGACAGCAATGACAACATGCAACTACAACATCCGGGTTGATGGTATGAATTCGGGGATAATGATAGTGATGCTCTGGGGACAGCAATGACAACATGCAACTACAACATCCGGGTTGATGGTATGAATTCAGGGATAATGATAGTGATGCTCTGGGGACAGCAATGACAACATGCAACTACAACATCCGGGTTGATGGTATGAATTCGGGGATAATGATAGTGATGCTCTGGGGACAGCAATGACAACATGCAACTACAACATCCGGGTTGATGGTATGAATTCGGGGATAATGATAGTGATGCTCTGGGGACAGCAATGACAACATGCAACTACAACATCCGGGTTGATGGTATGCATTTGGGGATAATGATAGTGATGCTCTGGGGACAGCAATGACAACATGCAACTACAACATCCGGGTTGATGGTATGAATTCGGGGATAATGATAGTGATGCTCTGGGGACAGCAATGACAACATGCAACTACAACATCCGGGTTGATGGTATGAATCGGGGATAATGATAGTGATGCTCTGGGGGACAGCAATGACAACATGCAACTACAACATCCGGGTTGATGGTATGAATTCGGGGATAATGATAGTGATGCTCTGGGGACAGCAATGACAACATGCAACTACAACATCCGGGTTGATGGTATGCATTTGGGGATAATGATAGTGATGCTCTGGGGACAGCAATGACAACATGCAACTACAACATCCGGGTTGATGGTATGCATTTGGGGATAATGATAGTGATGCTCTGGGGACAGCAATGACAACATGCAACTACAACATCCGGGTTGATGGTATGCATTTGGGGATAATGATAGTGATGCTCTGGGGACAGCAATGACAACATGCAACTACAACATCCGGGTTGATGGTATGAATTCGGGGATGATGCTAGTGATGCTCTGGGGACAGCAATGACAACATGCAACTACAACATCCGGGTTGATGGTATGAATTCGGGGATAATGCTAGTGATGCTCTGGGGACAGCAATGACACCATGCAACTACAACATCCGGGTTGATGGTATGAATTCGGGAATAATGATAGTGATGCTCTGGGGACAGCAATGACAACATGCAACTACAACATCCGGGTTGATGGTATGAATTCGGGGATAATGCTAGTGATGCTCTGGGGACAGCAATGACAACATGCAACTACAACATCCGGGTTGATGGTATGAATTAGGGGATAATGCTAGTGATGCTCTGGGGACAGCAATGACAACATGCAACTACAACATCCGGGTTGATGGTATGCATTTGGGGATAATGATAGTGATGCTCTGGGGACAGCAATGACAACATGCAACTACAACATCCGGGTTGATGGTATGCATTTGGGGATAATGATAGTGATGCTCTGGGGACAGCAATGACAACATGCAACTACAACATCCGGGTTGATGGTATGCATTTGGGGATAATGATAGTGATGCTCTGGGGACAGCAATGACAACATGCAACTACAACATCCGGGTTGATGGTATGAATTCGGGGATGATGATAGTGATGCTCTGGGGACAGCAATGACAACATGCAACTACAACATCCGGGTTGATGGTATGAATTCGGGGATGATGATAGTGATGCTCTGGGGACAGCAATGACAACATGCAACTACAACATCCGGGTTGATGGTATGAATTCGGGGATGATGATAGTGATGCTCTGGGGACAGCAATGACAACATGCAACTACAACATCCGGGTTGATGGTATGAATTCGGGGATAATGATAGTGATGCTCTGGGGACAGCAATGACAACATGCAACTACAACATCCGGGTTGATGGTATGAATTCGGGGATAATGATAGTGATGCTCTGGGGACAGCAATGACAACATGCAACTACAACATCCGGGTTGATGGTATGAATTCGGGGATAATGATAGTGATGCTCTGGGGACAGCAATGACAACATGCAACTACAACATCCGGGTTGATGGTATGAATTCGGGGATAATGATAGTGATGCTCTGGGGACAGCAATGACAATAATGCAACTACAACATCCGGGTTGATGGTATGAATTCGGGGATAATGATAGTGATGCTCTGGGGACAGCAATGACAACATGCAACTACAACATCCGGTTGATGGTATGAATTCGGGGATGATGATAGTGATGCTCTGGGGACAGCAATGACAACATGCAACTACAACATCCGGGTTGATGGTATGAATTCAGGGATAATGATAGTGATGCTCTGGGGACAGCAATGACAACATGCAACTACAACATCCGGGTTGATGGTATGAATTAGGGGATAATGATAGTGATGCTCTGGGGACAGCAATGACAACATGCAACTACAACATCCGGGTTGATGGTATGAATTCGGGGATGATGATAGTGATGCTCTGGGGACAGCAATGACAACATGCAACTACAACATCCGGGTTGATGGTATGAATTCAGGGATAATGATAGTGATGCTCTGGGGACAGCAATGACAACATGCAACTACAACATCCGGGTTGATGGTATGAATTCAGGGATAATGATAGTGATGCTCTGGGGACAGCAATGACAACATGCAACTACAACATCCGGGTTGATGGTATGAGGCTTGGGATGATGGCAGCGATGATCCGGGGGCACGGATGCATTGGGGGAGGGATGGCAACATGCAGCTACAACATCAGTCGTCATGGTATGAGGGTGGAAGTCATGATAGTGTTACTCTGGGGGAGAGGAATGGCTACAACATCAGTCGTCATGGTATTATGGTGGAAGTCATGATAGTGATACTCTGGGGGAGAGGAATGGCAACAACATCAGTCGTCATGGTATGATGATGGAAGTCATGATAGTGTTACTCTGGGGAAGAGGAATGGCTACAACATCAGTCGTCATGATATGATGGTGGAAGTCATGATAGTGTTACTCTGGGGAAGAGGAATGGCTACAACATCAGTCGTCATGATATGATGGTGGAAGTCATGATAGTGTTACTCTGGGGAAGAGGAATGGCTACAACATCAGTCGTCATGGTATGATGGTGGAAGTCATGATAGTGATACTCTGGGAGAGAGGAATGGCAACATGCAGCTACAACATCAGTCGTCATGGTATGAGGGTGGAAGTCATGATAGTGTTACTCTGGGGGAGAGGAATGGCAACAACATCAGTCGTCATGGTATTATGGTGGAAGTCATGATAGTGATACTCTGGGGGAGAGGAATGGCTACAACATCAGTCGTCATGGTATGATGATGGAAGTCATGATAGTGTTACTCTGGGGGAGAGGAATGGCTACAACATCAGTCGTCATGGTATGATGGTGGAAGTCATGATAGTGTTACTCTGGGGGAGAGGAATGGCTACAACATCAGTCGTCATGGTATGATGGTGGAAGTCATGATAGTGTTACTCTGGGGGAGAGGAATGGCTACAACATCAGTCGTCATGGTATGATGGTGGAAGTCATGATAGTGTTACTCTGGGGGAGAGGAATGGCTACAACATCAGTCGTCATGGTATGATGGTGGAAGTCATGATAGTGTTACTCTGGGGGAGAGGAATGGCTACAACATCAGTCGTCATGGTATGATGGTGGAAGTCATGATAGTGTTACTCTGGGGGAGAGGAATGGCTACAACATCAGTCGTCATGGTATGATGGTGGAAGTCATGATAGTGTTACTCTGGGAGAGAGGAATGGCAACATGCAGCTACAACATCAGTCGTCATGGTATGATGGTGGAAGTCATGATAGTGTTACTCTGGGGGAGAGGAATGGCTACAACATCAGTCGTCATGGTATGATGGTGGAAGTCATGATAGTGTTACTCTGGGAGAGAGGAATGGCAACATGCAGCTACAACATCAGTCGTCATGGTATGATGGTGGAAGTCATGATAGTGTTACTCTGGAGGAGAGGAATGGCTACAACATCAGTCGTCATGGTATGATGGTGGAAGTCATGATAGTGTTACTCTGGGGGAGAGGAATGGCAACAACATCAGTCGTCATGGTATTATGGTGGAAGTCATGATAGTGATACTCTGGGGAAGAGGAATGGCTACAACATCAGTCGTCATGGTATGATGGTGGAAGAAATGATAGTGTTACTCTGGGGGAGAGGAATGGCAACAACATCAGTCGTCATGGTATGATGGTGGAAGTCATGATAGTGTTACTCTGGGGAAGAGGAATGGCTACAACATCAGTCGTCATGGTATTATGGTGGAAGTCATGATAGTGATACTCTGGGGGAGAGGAATGGCAACAACATCAGTCGTCATAGTATGATGGTGGAAGTCATGATAGTGATACTCTGGGGGAGAGGAATGGCAACAACATCAGTCGTCATGGTATGATGGTGGAAGTCATGATAGTGATACTCTGGGGGAGAGGAATGGCAACAACATCAGTCGTCATGGTATGATGGTGGAAGTCATGATAGTGATACTCTGGGGAAGAGGAATGGCTACAACATCAGTCGTCATGGTATTATGGTGCAAGTCATGATAGTGATACTCTGGGGGAGAGGAATGGCAACATGCAGCTACAACATTAGCATCGTGATGGTGATGGTGGTGGGGATGATGATGAGGAGGATCCACACTACTTATTCTGTCAGTGTCAGTGATTGACAACTTTAGCAAGATATAATACTAAAAGTATAATAACAGTGATGACGTGCGCCGACAGAAGGTGAAAATTATGTCGAGCCAAATGGGTAAGGCATTCAGAAATGTGCACGTAAACATTGACAAAGCTACGCTGGGTCCAGTCGTGGAGTGGATGCATGCACGAAAAAATGACATTACTAGCAACCTATCTGTGTCAATTGTCTGTTTGAAAACCACAGAAGATATAGTCCTAGTGTCCGTCGGTCAGGTTTTAGATCACACGCTGTCCTCCACATGAAGATTACGGCCAATAGGTCTAGTCATTCCATTGACATGAATCTCTAGAGGACTGCCTTCTCTATCTGATCGGGCTGTTATTGCCTATGGGACTTAACGTTTAACACAGTTATATCTGATTGTTAGATTTTAGAGACAGCCCTAGCCGTTCACAGATGTTTATGGCTAATATCTATGTCCGGTAGTGTATGTGTTGACGAAGGCTCTATAGCCACAACATTCATATTTTGTATGTGTCTTCTATATTGTATGGCAAACTACTGGACGTAAATTTGCCTAGAAAAACCACACAACAGCCAGGGGCTGTTGGAGTTGGTTCTGCAACGTCCTGTGAAGGATACGCAACTAACCTTTCTATATTGTGAAGCTCGCTGATATACTTTTCGTTCGGGTTTATATCTTTCCTTGGCCAGTTTGAGAGAGTTTTTGACCATCTTGAAATAATTATTGGCCATCTTGAGAGAATGTTTGACCATCTTGAAATAATGTTTGACCATCTTGAGAGAATGTTTGACCATCTTGAAATAATTACTGGCCATCTTGAGAGAATGTTATTCAAGTGTTAGCTACCACAGACAGCCTCGATAAAGGTAAGACAATGAACACCGAGCAATGGTAAAACCATGCACGAGATGGACAGACAGCATCAAGATCGGCCTTACAGAAATCAAGAACAACTTAGACAGCCCATAAGCAAGACCATACAGAAGAACAATCGCTGGGCTAACTGCAGCAGAAAGGAGGACAGCAGAAAAAACAAGTGAAACATAAAAACATCAACTGCCAGAAAAGACCAACACGAACGGTTGCTGTAGCAACGACATCAACTGACCTTCTGGCAAGTCTTATGTCCCAGTAGGTTGGACAGGTTTGCGGTGACGGTAAAGACGCCGGTATCCCCAAAGGTGTGTGTGTAGGGCACGTTGATCTGCAGTGTTGGCTGTAGAATCAAGAGGACATACGTGAAACAATCGGGAAGAATGGGATCACTGTCTCTATCGCATGCCTACACAGACGTACTGTATGTGCTCTAGGCGTTCTAGCATACATCAGAAACCTACACACACCCACACACACACACACACACACACACTATCTCGCTCCCTCTCCCTGTCTGTGTGTGCGTGTGTGTGCGCGCGCTAGATGTATGAAAGTGTTTGTATGTATGTGTGTGTGTGAGTAAATGTGTATGCATAAGTATGAGTGCATGTATATGTATTTATGTAGGAGTGTGGGTGCATCTGTGTGTATGTATGCGTGAGTGTGTATACACAAATGGATGTGTGTGTGTAGTATTTGTGCATATGTGTGTGTGTGTCTGTTAGTGTGTACTATTTGTGCATGTGTGTATACGTATACCGGCGGGTTTATAAATATGCATGGATGTTGGTGCATGTATGTGTATGCATGAGGTGCATATTTGTGTATGGATGAGAGAGTGCAAGTATGTAAGTGATTGTATGAATGAGTATGTGTGAGTGTCTATATATCTTGTGGCAAGATTATGTGTACCTGTGTATGTTTTAAGGTGAATTATTTTCTTTTTAAACATATGATTGTACGTATGTGCATGAGTGTGTATGTGTGGGTAAGATATATATGTTTCTATGTATGTATCAGTGTATGAGAGTATATGTGTGGGTATATATTAGAGTGTATTATCTGTATGTAAATATCATGTACGTATGTATTTATTATCTGTGTATTTATGTAATATGTGTAGTTGACGGTGTGTGTATGTGTATGTCGTGTATGCTCATGCGCATGAATTTACCATTTATGCTTTCCCATACTGATATTCGTATAATGCAGATAGTTATCTGAATATATCATGCTTTGTTGATAAAAAATACAACTGCTGTTTGAAAGATGGGTGTTTGGAGGAGCCGAATGTAAGACGGGCCTGCCGTCGCTTCTTTACGCAGCCAGACTTTTAAAAAGAAATGACCATGGCTCCTCGGTCGACGCATTCTTCAAGGGTACCAGATATAGTCCTGGGAAGAAAAGGCGGCCGGCATGATGCTGGTCACATCGCCCAGCAAACGCCGGTTGGTCTGTAAAATATATGTCTAGCCTTAAAGGGCCAATACGCCTAAAGGCGGGGGGAAAAAGACCTCTACATTACTTTATCCAGCAACAATAGACCTGCCAGTATTACATTACTTTATCCAGCAACAATAGACCTGCCAGTATTACATTACTTTATCCAGCAACAATAGACCTGCCAGTATTACATTACTTTATCCAGCAACAATAGACCTGCCAGTATTACATTACTTTATCCAGCAACAATAGACCTGCCAGTATTACATTACTTTATCCAGCAACAATAGACCTGCCAGTATTACATTACTTTATCCAGCAACAATAGACCTGCCAGTATTACATTACTTTATCCAGCAACAATAGACCTGCCAGTATTACTTTACTTTATCCAGCAACAATAGACCTGCCAGTATTACATTACTTTATCCAGCAACAATAGACCTGCTAGTATTACTTTACTTTATCAAGCAACAATAGACCTGCCAGTATTACATTACTTTATCCAGCAACAATAGACCTGCCAGTATTACATTACTTTATCCAGCAACAATAGACCTGCCAGTATTACTTTACTTTATCAAGCAACAATAGACCTGCCAGTATTACATTACTTTATCCAGCAACAATAGACCTGCCAGTATTACATTACTTTATCCAGCAACAATAGACCTGCCAGTATTACATTACTTTATCAGCAACAATAGACCTGCCAGTATTACATTACTTTATCCAGCAACAATAGACCTGCCAGTATTACATTACTTTATCCAGCAACAATAGACCTGCCAGTATTACATTACTTAATCAAGCAATAATAGACCTGCCAGTATTACATTACTTTATTAACCAACAATAGACCTGCCAGTATTACATTACTTTATCAGCAACAATAGACCTGCCAGTATTACATTACTTTATCCAGCAACAATAGACCTGCCAGTATTACATTACTTTATCCAGCAACAATAGACCTGCCAGTATTACTTTACTTTATCAAGCAACAATAGACCTGCCAGTATTACATTACTTTATCCAGCAACAATAGACCTGCCAGTATTACATTACTTTATCCAGCAACAATAGACCTGCCAGTATTACATTACTTTATCAGCAACAATAGACCTGCCAGTATTACATTACTTTATCCAGCAACAATAGACCTGCCAGTATTACATTACTTTATCCAGGAACAATAGACCTGCCAGTATTACATTACTTAATCAAGCAACAATAGACCTGCCAGTATTACATTACTTTATCAACCAACAATAGACCTGCCAGTATTACATTACTTTATCAGCAACAATAGACCTGCCAGTATTACATTACTTTATCCAGCAACAATAGACCTGCCAGTATTACATTACTTTATCAAGCAACAATAGACCTGCCAGTATTACATTACTTTATCAAGCAACAATAGACCTGCCAGTATTACATTTTTTTCAGCAACAATGGACTGCCAGTATTACATTTTTTTTCAGCAACAATAGACCTGCCAGTATTACATTTTTTTCAGCAACAATAGACCTGCCAGTATTACATTTTTTTTCAGCAACAATAGACTGCCAGTATTACATTTTTTTTCAGCAACAATAGACTGTCAGTATTACATTTTCTTTTTCAGCAACAATAGACTGCCAGTATTACATTTTTTTCAGCAACAATAGACTGCCAGTATTACATTTTTTTCAGCAACAATAGACCTGCCAGTATTACATTGTCTTCGGTCGGTTCAGCAACAATAGATTTGTCAGTATTACATTTTCATCAGTCTGTCCAGCAACAATAGATTTGTCAGTATGACATTTTTGTCAGTCTGTCCAGGAACAATAGACTTGCCAGTATGACATGTTTGTCAGTCTGTCCAGCAACAATAGACTTGCCAGTATGACATGTTTGTCAGTCTGTCCAGCAAAATTAGATTTGTCAGTATGACATGTTTGTCAGTCTGTCAAGCAACAATAGATTTGCCAGTATGACATGTTTGTCAGTCTGTCCAGCAACAACAGATTTGTCAGTATGACATGTTTGTCAGTTTGTCCAGCAACAATAGATTTGCCAGTATGACATGTTTGTCAGTCTGTCCAGCAACAATAGATTTGCCAGCATGACATGTTTGTCAGTCTGTCCAGCAACAATAGATTTGTCAGTATGACATGTTTGTCAGTTTGTCCAGCAACAATATATTTGCCAGTATGACATGTTTGTCAGTCTGTCCAGCAACAATAGATTTGTCAGTATGACATTTGTGTCAGTCTGTCCAGCAACCCTAGACCGACAAGCTGTACTCACGTTAAGATCCTGACTCTGAGGTTCGCCCCAGTTCAAGGTCAAGGTCGGCTCTGTGGGCATGACGCTGGAGTTGAAGGTCAAGTTGACGTAGGCTGGCGGGTGGTACAGAGAGTGGTCAACCATCTGGCACTCGATAGCCAGCACACTGACCAGCACCAACACCTGGACACTCTTTTTGTAGGTACCTGGGGAGCACAGGTGGTTCTAAAGTGTGTGACCTGCTCTAGAATGTAAACTTCTTATTTAACTAACTAACTATCCATCCATTCATCCATCCATGCATCCATCCATCCGTCTTTCTATCTGTCTGTCTGGTTGTCTGTCTGTCTGTCTCTATTAAACTGCTAATTTTTCGAACCATCTTCCACTCGATCTGAAAACTACAAAGAGTTCTTACTCGTTTAACCACACCCTTTTTCAATTCATGTTTACCAGTGATTATATATTAGATATAATATATTATATTATGACCCCTTAAATGTAGGTAATAATCAATAAGGCATTATTATTTTATGATTAGATAAGGTGTGTGTGTGTGTGTGTGAGAGTTTATGTGTGATATGCACATAACTGTGTGTGTGTGTGTGTGTGTGTGTGTGTGTGTGTGTGTGTGTGTGTGTGTGTGTGTGTGTGTTTTAAATATTTTATTTTATTTTTTGAAGTTTGTGTATTTATGGGTTTTTCTACCCAAGAGTGTGTGTATGTGTTTGTCTACCCAAAAGTGTATGTAAGGGTTTGTCTACCCAAGAGTGTATGTATGGGTTTGTCTACCCAAGAGTGTATGTTTGGGTTTGTCTACCCAAGAGTCTATGCATGGGTTTGTCTACCCAAGAGTGTATGTAAGGGTTTGTCTACCCAAGAGTGTATGTAAGGGTTTGTCTACCCAAGAGTGTATGTATGTGTTTGTCTACCCAAGAGTCTATGCATGGGTTTGTCTACCCAAGAGTGTATGTAAGGGTTTGTCTACCCAAGAGTGTATGTAAGGGTTGGTCTACCCAAGAGTGTATGTATGTGTTTGTCTACCCAAGAGTGTATGTAAGGGTTTGTCTACCCAAGAGTGTATGTAAAGGTTTGTCTACCCAAGAGTGTATGTATGGGTTTGTCTACCCAAGAGTGTATGTTTGGGTTTGTCTACCCAAGAGTCTATGCATGGGTTTGTCTACCCAAGAGTGTATGTAAGGGTTTGTCTACCCAAGAGTGTATGTAAGGGTTTGTCTACCCAAGAGTGTATGTATGTGTTTGTCTACCCAAGAGTCTATGCATGGGTTTGTCTACCCAAGAGTGTATGTAAGGGTTTGTCTACCCAAGAGTGTATGTAAGGGTTTGTCTACCCAAGAGTGTATGTATGTGTTTGTCTACCCAAGAGTGTATGTAAGGGTTTGTCGACCCAAGAGTGTATGTAAAGGTTTGTCTACCCAAGAGTGTATGTATGGGTTTATCTACCCTAGAGTGTATGTATGGGTTTGTCTACCCAAGAGTGTATGTATGGGTTTGTCTACCCAAGAGTGTATTATGGGTTTGTCTACCCAAGAGTGAATGTAAGGGTTTATCTACCCAAGAGTGTATGTAAGGGTTTGTCTACCCAAAAGTGTATGTATGGGTTCGTCTACCCAAAGGTGTATGTAAGGGTTTGTCTACCCAAAAGTGTATTTATGGGTTTATCTACCCAAGAGTGTATGTATGGGGTTGTCTACTCAAGAGTGTATGTATGTGTTTGTCTACCCAAGAGTGTATGTATGTGTTTGTCTACCCAAGAGTGTATGTATGTGTTTGTCTACCCAAGAGTGTATGTATGGGTTTGTCTACCCAAGAGTGTATGTATGGGTTTGTCTACCCACGAGAGTATGTATGGGTTTGTCTACCCAAGAGTGTATGTATGTGTTTGTCTACCCAAGAGTGTATGTATGTGTTTGTCTACTCAAGAGTGTATGTATGGGTTTGTCTACCCAAGAGTGTATGTAAGAGTTTGTCTACCCAAGAGTGTATTATGGGTTTGTCTACCCAAGAGTGAATGTAAGGGTTTGTCTACCCAAGAGTGTATGTGAGGGTTTGTCTACCCAAAAGTGTATGTATGGGTTCGTCTACCCAAAGGTGTATGTAAGGGTTTTTCTACCCAAGAGTCTATGTATGGGTTTGTCTACCCAAACATTTATGTATGGGTTTGTCTACCCAAGAGTGTAAGTAAAAGTTTGTCTACCCAAGAGTGTATGTATGGGTTTGTCTACCCAAGAGTGTATGTAAGGGTTTGTCTACCCAAGAGTGTATGTATGTGTTTGTCTACCCAAGAGTGTATGTAAGGGTTTGTCTACTCAAGAGTGTATGTAAGGGTTTGTCTACCAAAGAGTGTATGTATGGGTTTGCCTACCCAAGAGTGTATATAAGGGTTTGTCTACCCAAAAGTGTATGAATCAGTTTGTCTACCCAAGAGATTGTGTATGTGTTTGTCTACCCAAGAGTGTATGTATGGGTTTGTCTACCCAAGAGTGTATGTATGGGTTTGTCTACCCAAGAGTGTAGGTATGTGTTTGTCTACCTAAGAGTGTATGTATGTGTTTGTCTACACAAGAGTGTATGTATGAGTTTGTCTACTCAAGAGTGTATGTAAGGGTTTGTCTCCCCAAGAGTGTATGTATGGGGTTTGTCTACCCAAGAGTATATGTATGGGTTTGTCTACCCAAGAGTATATGTATGGGTTTGTCTACCCAAGAGTGTATGTATGTGCAGTATAGATAACAAGCTTATCTTAGGCATTTAAAAAAAATGTAGTAATGTCTTTGATCAGATTCTGGAACTAATCTTGTATAGCACATCTGCTTTTATACTGAACAGTCAAGCCTCCAGTCTGCCTTGTTGCGTTGTTGTTCTAACCGGATTTCGTCAAATACTTCAACCCGGGAGAGAAATGTTCAGCTACAAAGCTTTTGACAATGTATGTGGTGCTCTTCCTTTGTGATGCTCCAAGCAGGTGCCTAATGGTTGAGCCTGCTCTGGTTCTATCCAACGATATTATGTAGGCACAGAAGCCCAGCTGTGAATCTTTGGTTGCTTTTTGGACACGAACTTTGACCGGATATGTATCTAAGCGCGATTGAAGAATAATTGAATGAATGAATGAATGAATAAATGAATGAATGAATGAATGAATGAATGAATATCTGAGATTCTTGGACTAAAGCTGGCTATATCACTAAGAGATGCATCGCTCACCTGCAGCGTTAGAGATGGTAGCAGTGACGGTAAAACGTCCGCCATTGACATACGTGTGTTGGAAAACGACCGGCTTTACCCATTCCACGCCTAATGGTTGGTCATACTTGCTGCTTTCTCCGTCGCCGTAGTCAATAACAACCGTGACGTCAGATCCGGAGTCCATGTTCACTGTAAAGTTGACTAGCTCGTGGCTGGCAAAAAGGGAACGGAAAGTCTGTTGTAGCAGTCTGTCTGTTTGTCTGCTGTAGCAGTCTATATGTCTGTCTGTTGTAGAAGTCTGTCTGTTTGTCTGTTGTAGCAGTCTATCTGTATGTCTGTTGTAGCAGTCTGTATGTCTGTTGTAGCAGTATGTCTGTCTGTTGTAGCAGTCTGTATGTCTGTCTGTTGTAGCAGTCTGTCTGTTTGTCTGTTGATGCAGTCTGTCTGTTTTTCTGTTGTAGCAGTCTATATGTATGTCTGTTGTAGCAGTCTGTCTGTCTGTTGTAGCAGTCTGTCTGTCTGTTGTAGCAGTCTATATGCCTGTCTGTTGTAGCAGTCTGTCTGTCTGTCTGTCTGTTGTAGCAGTCTATATGTTTGTCTGTTGTAGCAGTCTGTCTGTTTGTCTGTTTTAGCAGTCTGTCTGTCTGTCTGTTGTAGCAGTCTATATGTTTGCCTGTTGTAGCAGTCTGTCTGTTTGTCTGTTGTAGCAGTCTATATGTCTGTCTGTTGTAGCAGTCTGTCTGTTTGTCTGTTGTAGCAGTCTGAATGCATTTCTGTTGTAGCAGTCTATATGTCTGTCTGTTGTAGCAGTCTGTCTGTCTGTCTGTTGTAGCAGTCTGTATGTCTGTTGTAGCAGTCTGTATGTCTGTTGTAGCAGTCTGTATGTCTGTTGTAGCAGTATGTCTGTATGTTGTAGCAGTCTGTATGTCTGTCTGTTGTAGCAGTCTGTCTGTTTGTCTGTTGTAGCAGTCTGTCTGTTTGTCTGTTGTAGCAGTCTGTCTGTCTGTTGTAGCAGTCTGTCTGTCTGTTGTAGCAGTCTTTCTATCTGTCGTAGCAAACTATATGCCTGTCTGTTGTAGCAGTCTGTCTGTCTGTCTGTTGTAGCAGTCTATATGTTTGTCTGTTGTAGCAGTCTGTCTGTTTATCTGTTGTAGCAGTCTGTCTGTCTGTCTGTTGTAGCAGTCTATATGTTTGCCTGTTGTAGTAGTCTGTCTGTTTGTCTGTAGTGGCAGTCTGTATGTCTGTCTGTTGTAGCAGTATGTCTGTTTGTCTGTTGTAGCAGTCTATCTGTTTGTCTGTTGTAGCAGTCTGTATGTCTGTCTGTTGTAGCAGTCTATATGTCTGTCTGTTGTAGCAGTCTGTCTGTTTGTCTGTTGTAGCAGTCTGTCTGTTTGTTATAGCAGTTTATATGTCTGCTGTTGTAGCAGTCTGTCTGTTTGTCTGTTCTAGCATTCTATATGCCTGTCTGTTGTAGCAGTCTGTCTGTCTGTTGTAGCAGTCTGTATGTCTGTTGTAGCAGTATGTCTGTCTGTTGTAGCAGTCTGTATGTCTGTTGTGGCAGTATGTCTAGCTGTTGTAGCAGTCTGTATGTCTGTCTGTTGTAGCAGTCTGTCTGTTTGTATGTTGTAGCAGTCTTTATGTCTGTCTGTCTGTTGTAGCAGTCTCCATGTATGTCTGTTGTAGCAGTCTGTCTGTCTGTTGTAGCAGTCTGTATGTCTGTTGTAGCAGTCTGTATGTCTGTTGTAGCAGTCTGTATGTCTGTTGTAGCAGTATGTCTGTCTGTTGTAGCAGTCTGTCTGTCTGTCTGTCTGTTGTAGCAGTCTGTATGTCTGTTGTAGCAGTCTGTATGTAGGTTGTAGCAGTATGTCTGTCTGTTGTAGCAGTCTGTATGTCTGTCTGTTGTAGCAGTCTGTCTGTCAGTTGTAGCAGTCTATATGTCTGTCTGTTGTAGCAGTCTGTCTGTTGTAGCAGTCTGTATGTATGTCTATTGTAGCAGTCTCTCTGTGTGTCTGTTGTAGCAGTCTGTATGTCTGTTGTAGCAGTCTGTCTGTCTTTCATTTGTAGCAATCCGTATGTCTGTTGTAGCAGTCTGTATGTCTGTTGTTGCAGTCTGTATGTCTGTTGTAGCAATTTGTATGTCTGTTGTAGCAGTATGTCTGTCTGTTGTAGCAGTCTGTATGTCTGTCTGTTGTACCAGTCTGTCTGTCAGTTGTAGCAGTCTATATGTCTGTCTGTTGTAGCAGTCTGTATGTATGTCTGTTGTAGCAGTCTGTCTGTCTGTTGTAGCAGTCTGTATGTCTATTGTAGCAATTTGTCTGTCTTTATGTTGTAGCAGTCTATATGTATGTCTGTTGTAGCAGTCTGTCTGTCTGTCTGTCTGTTGTAGCAGTCTGTATATCTTTCTGGTGTAGCAGTCTGTCTGTCTGTTGTAGCAGTCTGTCTGTCTGTTGTAGCAGTCTGTCTGTCTGTTGTAGCAGTCTGTATGTCTGTCTGTTGTAGCAGTCTGTCTGTCTGTTGTAGCAGTCTGTATGTCTGTCTGTTGTAGCAGACTGTGTTTCTGTCTGTTGTAGCAGTCTGTCTGTCTGTTGTAGCAGTCTGTATGTATGTCTGTTGTAGCAATCTGTAGGTCTGTCTGTTGTAGCCGTCTGTATATCTGTTGTAGCAGTCTGTCTGTCTGTCTGTTGTAGCAGTCTGTCTGTCTGTCTGTCTGTTGTAGCAATCTGTATGTCTGTCTGTTGTAGCAGTATGTCTGTCTGTTGTAGCTGTCTGTCTGTCTGTCTGTTGTAGCAGTCTGTCTGAAGTAGCAGTCTGTCTGTCTGTCTGTTGTAGCATTCTGTACGACTGTCAGTTGTAGCAATCTGTATGTCTGTCTGTTGTAGCAGTCTGTCTGTCTGTTGTAGCAGTCTTTCTGTCTGTTGTACCAGTCTATATGTATGTCTGTGTAGCAGTCTGTATGTATGTCTGATGTAGCAGTCTGTATGTCTGTTGTAGCAGTCTTTGTGTCTGTTGTAGCAGTCTATATGTCTGTCTATTGTAGCAGTCTGTATGTCTGTTGTAGCAGTCTGTCTGTCTGTTGTAGCATTGTATATGTCTGTCTGTTGTAGCAGTCTGTCTGCCTGTTGTATCAGTCTGTCTGTTGTAGCAGTCTGTCTGTCTGTTGTAGCAGTCTGTCTGTTTGTTGTAGCAGTCTACATGTATGTCTGTTGTAGCAGTCTGTCTGTCTGTTGTAGCAGTCTGTCTGTCTGTTGCAGCAGTCTATCTGTCTGTTGTAGCAGTCTATCTGTCTGTTATAGCAGTCTGTCTGTCTGTTTTTCTTTAGAAGCAGTCTGTATGTTTTAGAAGTCTATATGTCTGCTGTAGACTAGTTTAAGCAGTCCAGTCGTCTCTCTGTTGTACAGTAGTCTCAGCAGTCTATATGTCTGTCTGCTGTAGATTAGTTTTAGCAGTCCAGTCGTCTCTCTGTTGTACACTAGTCTCAGCAGTCTATATGTCTTTTCTGTTGTTCACTAGTCTCAGCAGTCTATATGACTGTCTAAACCCAGCTGTCTCACCTGTCAACCACTAGAGAGACTCTCACCTGGACAGGTTGACCTTGACGGTGGTCAGTGTAGGGTTGACGATCACAGACAGAATCTGGAAGGTGGCGCTGATGTTGGCCTGGCTGACCGGGTTCGACGCCTTGATGCTCAGTGGGATCGAACTCGCGGCCCTTCCTGGCTGCAGGCTGGTCTTCCAGCGATATTTACTGACACTGCTGTATGCTACAGGTGAATTACAGAAACAGACATCTGTGAGGTTGTACCACATAGACAGACATCTGTGAGGTTGTATCACACATACAGACACCTTGTGAGGTTGTATCACATAGACATATGTGAGACTTTATCACACACACAGACATGTGTGAGGTTGTATCACACAGATAGACATCTGTGAGGTTGTATCACACAGACAGACATCTGTGAGGTTGTATCACACAGACAGACATCTGTGAGGTTGTATCACCCAGACATACATCTGTGAGGTTGTATCACACAGACAGACATATGTGAGGTTGTATCACACAGACAGACATCTGTGAGGTTGTATCACACAGACAAGACATATGTTGGGTTGTATCACACAGACAGACATATGTGAGGTTGTATCACACAGACAGACATCTGTGAGGTTGTATCACACAGGCAGACATCTGTGAGGTTGTATCACACAGACAGACATCTGTTAGGTTGTATCACACAGACAGACAACTTTTAGGTTGTATCACACAGACAGACATCTGTGAGGTTGTATCACACAGACAAGACATCTGTGAGGTTGTATCACACAGACAGACATCTGTGAGGCTGTATCATACAGACAGACATCTGTTAGGTTGTATCACACAGACAAGACATATGTGAGGTTGTATCACACAGACAGACATCTGTGAGGTTGTATCACACAGACAGACATCTGTTAGGTTGTATCACACAGACATACATCTGTTAGGTTGTATTACACAGACAGACATCTGTGAGACTGTATCCAAGTCCGGCTCCAGCTGACAGGTCATGGTGCTGACGTCACTAAACCGGGCTAACGATACTGTAACGCAGCGTTTCTGAAACCCTTTTACTCCGACAAAAAGTGGTTTAAATACTTAAGAAACGAAGAAACAAAAAAAAAAAAGCAGTGCAAATTTAATGTCAAGCAGATTTTTTTTTAAATTCCATTTTTGCCGCGGCAACCCTGACATACGCTCACGGCACCCCTGACATACACTCGCGGCACACCTGACATACGCTCGCGGCAACTCTGACATATACTCGCGGCACTCCTGACATACGCTCGCGGCACCCCTGACATACGCTCGCGGCAACTCTGACATACACCGCGGCACATCTGACATACGCTCGCGGCACCCCTGACATACGCTCGCGGCACTCCTGACATACACTTGCGGCACTTCTGACATACGCTCGCGGCACCCCTGACATACGCTCGCGGCACCCCTGACATACGCTCGCGGCACCCCTGACATACGCTCGCGGCACTCCTGACATACGCTCGCGGCACTCCTGACATACGCTCGCGGCACCCATGATATACGCTCGCGGCACTCCTGACATACGCTCGTGGCACCCCTGACATACGCTCGCGGCACTCCTGGCTGCCGCGGAACCCAGTATGAAAATTGCTGCGTTAACATATTGTTAGCCCGGTTTGGTAACGTCAGCAGCAAGGCCCGTCAGCTGAAGCCGGTCTTGCTTTACCACAAACAGACAAATTTGAGGCTGCATCAGAGAGACAGAGAAAGACAGAGAGAGACAGAGAGAGAGAGAGACAGAGACAGAGAGAGAGAGACAGAGAGAGACAGAGAGACAGAGAGAAAGAGACAGAAGAGAGAGACAGAGAGAGAGACAGAGAGAGAGAGAGACAGAGACAGAGAAACAGAGAGAGACAGAGACAGAGAAAGAGACAGAGAGAGATCTGTGAGTTTACAACAATAAGAAAACACCACAATCAGAGTGCACCATCAACTGCCACAAACTCCACCCTTAACTGTCACAATTAAACTCCACCCTTAACTGCTTAATGCATGCTCACGTTACTTGTGCAGAAGCTATCAGCCTTGAAAGCTACCAGTTACTAGTACTTCGATGGAATTAGACAACTGACAGAGAATCTAAAGATGAGGATGAACAGGCGAACGGGTGTCAAGCTTGGAGAAGACAGTAGATAACGAAATAACGAGAAAGGAGAGAAGAAGGCGAGAAGCAGGGCACGATGGGCAGTTAGGCCTGAGGCGGACCAGCCGATAGATCGACAAGTACTTAGCTTGTGAACAGAGTAGTCTACTGTATGGCGGAGAGTTCAGCTTGGGTTAGAAGATAAGATATTTCTACCGTGCGTTAGAAGAGACTTGAAAAACATTCAGTAAAAGCCAATCACCTGTAAGAAGTGCGCAACGAACGTTATAGCAACTTATACTGTACTGTTCATATTATTGTTTGAATAAAATCCTCATCGTACTCAAACTGATATTGTGTTTGGTAAATAAAGTAAAGGTCTCTTTTCACGGCTATAAGCATTTTGGGAATATAGGGCTAGACCGATATATGTATAGGCGAATCGGCACTTGTGTGTGATGTGGTCAGCATCACGCCGGCCGCCTTAACTTCCTAGAACTGCACCTGGTACACACTCAGATCTGGGTCGACCTGTGGGGCGGGGGCGGGGGGGGGGTCTACCGTGCGATCACAGGCGGGCGTCTAGCTCCCAACGCTACTGCTTAGATAATAAACATAATCTTAATTCCCTATGACTTGATCGTTGACGTTGTGTTGCATCACTGGCTGTGTTAGTAAACACTATATACATACGAACTCTATCTGACCGCTTGGTCCGCTAGGCATGCTTGCGCTTGGGGGGGGGGGGGGGGGGGGGGTTGGATAAATAAATTGTACCACACAAGCTCCGGTGAAAGCTGGGGTTTTTGTCACCAGGACCCAGTAATTTCCCCTGGTCTCTGGGTAGTAAAATCGGACGCACGTGTGTATTTTTGCGCACATAAAAGATCCCTTGGCAGTTGGAAATCGAAAAGAGTAGCCTGACGGCGCTGTCGGTGCAAAATTTGGAGTTAAAAATATACCTAAAGTATTTCAGGATCCTCGCCTGTGCTGCAGAGTTCGTGCACTGCGCTGATATGCTTCAGACTCAGGCCTGAGTTAGAATTAGAACGGAGCACTTATGGGTTACCACCCTTCTGCTATGATGTTGATCCGTTGTTATAAACCACAAACCACAAGTTTAGGAACATCCCTTTAGTGCAAACAATGTTGAAACTAACAAATGTCTGTTGGAACGCGACAACTTACAGCTGAGGCTGACACCATCGTATATGACCACAAATGTGATCTCCTCGCCCGAGTCGGTCGTCCACTCCAGGGCGTAATCCTGCCCCTTCTGGGCGCCCAGACTGACCATGCGTAGGTTGGTGATGGCCTCCAAGACTTTGATGGTCACTTTCTCCACGACCGTGCTGACCTTGTTGGAGCAGTTGACCGTCAGAATAAAGTCCCCAGTTGTTTTGTACGTGTGTCTGCAACAGATTTCAGTGAATTATCTTCAGGGACAAACACAACAAACATCAGTGAATTCACTTCATGGACACATGCACACACATATCAGTGAATTGAAATACACTCCAGTGACAATAACATAAGCAACGAAATTTCTCCATGGTCACACATACACATGATATATCAGTAAATCGGAATTCACTTCAGGAACAAACAGCGAATTCACTCCAGAGACAAAAACCACATGCATCAATGAATTCACTTCATTGAAAAACAAATCAGAAATCAGTAAATTCACTTCAGGGACACAGTCACAACGTTCAGTAGTGAATTTATTTAATGGACGCACATACACAACATGTATCAGTGAATTAGCTTAAAAAAAACCAACACAGTATTCATCAGTGAATTCACTTCAGGGACGAACACAATATACATCAGTGAATTTACTTCAGGGACGAACTCAATATACATCAGTGAATTTACTTCAGGGACGAACTCAATATACATCAGTGAATTTACTTCAGGGACGAACTCAATATACATCAGTGAATTCACTTCAGGGACGAACAGAGTATACATCAGTGAATTTACTTCAGGGACGAACAGAGTATACATCAGTGAATTTACTTCAGGGACGAACACAGTATACATCAGTGAATTCACTTCAGGGAGGAACACAGTATACATCAGTGAATTTACTTCAGGGACGAACTCAGTATACATCAGCGAATTGACTTCAGGGACGAACACAGTATACATCAGTGAATTTACTTCAGGGACGAACACAGTATACATCAGTGAATTCACTTCAGGGACGAACACAGTATACATCAGTGAATTCACTTCAGGGAGGAACACAGTATACATCAGTGAATTCACTTCAGGGACGAACAGAGTATACATCAGTGAATTCACTTCAGGGCCGAACAGAGTATACATCAGTGAATTGACTTCAGGGACGAATAAAGTATACATCAGTGAATTCACTTCAGGGACGAACAGAGTATACATCAGTGAATTTACTTCAGGGACGAACACAATATACATCAGTGAATTTACTTCAGGGATGAACTCAACATACAACAGTGAATTTACTTCAGGGATGAACTCAATATACATCAGTGAATTTACTTCAGGGACGAACACAATATACATCAGTGAATTTACTTCAGGGACGAACACAATATACATCAGTGAATTTACTTCAGGTATGAACTCAATATACATCAGTGAATTTACTTCAGGGATGAACTCAGTATACATCTGTGAATTTACTGTATAGGCATATAAAATATCATTTCCTCGTGTCGCTTAACCCTGCCAACATAAGGATCTCATTCTCTAGTTCCTGGTCGCCTCAATGTGTAACTCAATATAATTTTGAATTTACTTCAGGGATGAACCCGTATCAGTGGATTTAGGTAACCAGCCCAGCACAATGTGCTATGTGAATTTTCCAGCATGTATGTGCTTAATACACCAGTCTAGCCATGTGTGCTAAGTGACCAGTCCAGCCATGCGTGTTAGGTGACTAGCTCAGCCATGTGTGCTTTGTGACCCTGCCAAATTAAGGCTCATTCTCGAGTTCCTGGTGACTCAATCAGCCATGTGTGCTTAGTCTGACCAGTCCAGCGTATAGGAGACTAGGTGACTAGCTCAGCCATGTGTGCTTAGTGACCAGTCCAGCCATGCGAGTTAGGTGACTAGCTCAGCCATGTGTGCTTAGTGACCAGTCCAGCCATGCGAGCTAGGTGAGCATTCCATCCATGAACGCATACAAAATGAAGCCATGCGGGGTAATTCGGGAATGTACAAGAGATACCCCGGTAGTATGTATGCGATATATGCTTACACTGCCTACTGTTGCAGATAGGCTCAAAGTTCTGCAAGTAAAGTTATATCTCAGAGTAGCGGACAAAAGGCACCTCCTGCATGAAGCCCGGGGTAGAGCTAGGGGCCGAAGACTGAAAAGAGGAAAGTCTTGGATGGCACTGGCTGAAGACACAATTGGACATGTGTGCAGGCTTGATGAATTTAGGCCAGGAGAGGAGTGGGTCAAAGTGTCCGATCATGTTTAAGGTTTATGTAGGGTTCTAATCACGTTGGGACGTGCGTGCAGGGACTGGCTAGCTAAAGCTGCAGAACCAGAAGTTCAACAAATGATTCATGACAATATCCGCCTAGGTGATGTGAATGTATATACAGATGGCTCTGTGTTGAGAGGCAGACGAGGTCCATGGGGTCCATATCAAAGGCGAATGAACGGTTCCTAGTGCAGCAAAGCCTTGTATATGATATCACAACGTCTAGTTTGAGAATCGAGATGGATGTAGTCTTTGCTGACTTCCGCTGGCTTGAGAATCAGCCGTACACACATGTAGTTTTTGTAACTGACTCACAGAGTATGTTGAGAAAGGTGGAAACAAGCATGCTCCTTGCAGAGTGGCAAGCATCACTTCAGAGGTCCCGGGTAGTTAGCATCCTTAGGATATTTTCTCCAGGTCATGCCAGTGTGTTGGGAAATGAGCAGACAGATAGACTGGCCAGTTCTGTACCACTTGGTGGTGAACTGATATATGACAAGCTGGATGTTGTGAGGGCCCTTTGGGAGCCGGTAAACAGAGCCGAGGAACAGACAGATCATTACGATCTGAGGAGAATGGTACTTAGAGGTGTTACAAGGGGATATGGCCGACACCCGACACTCAGGGGAAAGGCGAGACGGATATACAATCAGACAGTTACTGGTACCATCGGAATTTTAATTCTTGCTGCTGAAGATGGGGACGGAGCGCTTATGGGGATATCCCGAGTGCTGTGATGTCGATTCTAAATTCAACATTTAACATTTCAGCCGTGAGTGCTTAGGTGACTAGTCCAGTCTGGGGGGTGGGGGCGCTAGTTGATCAGTTCAGATTTAGGAGCTAGGTGACCAGTCCAGATTTAGGAGCTAGATAATAAGCGTATGTGTACTTAACAGGCAGACCCTTTGAAAATCCCTAGAACTGAGATCACCGTGAGTTATGTCAGTGTCAGCAACTGATTGAGACAGAGAATTAGCTTCTCTGTCTACCACTAGTACAGGCAAGGAAGACCTGGTTGAAACGTGTGCACACATCCAAGGGCAACAATTGCCTGTATGCACCTCTAAGGACAACGAACATGTGTGTCTACAGCTAAGAAGAACACAAGTGCGTGTACTTACAACTTGGAGGCTCCAGTTTTGGGCGTACTTGTCTCGTCAGTGACTTCCAATGGTGTGTTGTCACCAAAGTTCCAGGTACAGGTGTAGTCTGAGCCCTGGCTCAGGGTGAAGTTGATTGTGGAAGGTGTCCCCAGAGCTGCGTGAGGACAGATAACAGGTTATTGCACTCCAGAATTGACACAGTTCAGGGTGAGGGAGGGGTCAGCAAAAGAGGTTCGGGTAGTGATTGCTGGATCCGTATAAGATGAGTTGATATAGGTCAGGGTCAGGAAGGGGTCAGAACAGAGGCTCAGGTAGTGATTGCTGGAACCATATAGATAAGTTGATATAGGTCAGGGTAAGGAAGGGGTCAGAACAGAGGCTCAGGTAGTGATTGCTGGATCCGTATAGATAAGTTGATATAGGTCAGGGTAAGGAAGGGGTCAGAACAGAGGCTCAGGTAGTGATTGCTGGATCCGGATAGATGAGTTGATATAGGTCAGGGTAAGGAAGGGGTCAGAACAGAGACTCAGGTAGTGATTGCTGAATCCGTAAAGATGAGTTGATATAGGTCAGGGTAAGGAAGGGGTCAGAACAGAGGCTCAGGTAGTGATTGCTGGATCCGTATAGATGAGTTGATATAGGTCAGGGTAAGGAAGGGGTCAGAACAGAGACTCAGGTAGTGATTGCTGGATCCGTATAGATGAGTTGATATAGGTCAGGGTAAGGAAGGAGTCAGAACAGAGGCTCAGGTAGTGATTGCTGGATCCGTATAGATGAGTTGATATAGGTCAGGGTCAGGAAGGGGTCAGAACAGAGACTCAGGTAGTGATTGCTGGATCCGTATAGATAAGTTGATATAGGTCAGGGTAAGGAAGGGGTCAGAAGAGAGGCTCAAGTAGTGAGACCCGGAAAGGGGAGGCGTCAAAGTGGTTAAAGTCAACCGTGAATAACCATATTATAAACACACAGGAATTAACTGTGAGTCTGTGTTTGGAGATCAAGATGAGAGATCTGTTTCAATGAAGTATTTAGGAGTGGGTTTTTTCAACTGAGGACATGGAATCTGCTCAAGAATGGGTACAAGTGCCAGTAAAGTGGGCTATATCCTTTTAAGTGCATAAAACTGGGTAGAGACTGCAAACATTAGGGCCCGTTGAATGCTGAGGCAGAAGTGCAAGCCTTAATGTTTAAAAATGCTGCTGACGGAAGTACAGTTAACTACACTGACGGAAGTACAGTTAACTACACTGACGGAAGTACAGTTAACTACACTGACGGAAGTACAGTTAACTACACTGACGAAGTAAGTGACAGTACAGTTAAAGAACTGACAGTGACGGAAGTACAGTTAACTACAGTGACGGAAGTACAGTTAACTACACTGACTGGAAGTACAGTTAACTACACTGACAGAAGTACAGTTAACTTACACGGAAGTACAGTTAACTACACTGACGGAAGTACAGTTACTACACCGACGGAAGTACAGTTAACTACACTGACGGAAGTACAGTTAACTACACTGACGGAAAGTACAGTTAACTACACTGACGGAAGTACAGTTAACTAACTGACGGAAGTAACTTAACCACTGACGACGGAAGTACAGTTAACTACACTGACGGAAGTACAGTTTAACTACACTGACGGAAGTACAGTTAACTACACTGACGGAAGTACAGTTAACTACACTGACGGAAGTACAGTTAACTACAACTGACGGAAGTACAGTAATACATGACAGGAAGTACAGTTTAACTACACTACGGAAGTACAGTTAACTACACTGAACGGAAGTACAGTTAACTACACTGACGGATGTACAGTTAACCACACTGACGGAAGTTAAAGTTAACTACACTGACGAAGTCGGTAACTACACT